TCTGGACGAGAGAAAACTCTGTTCTCAATCTGGCCCAGTGAACTACTTTATGGGCCGGTCCAGTTTCAAGGTCCTGAGCCAGACGTGAGAGGGATTCTGTCCAAGTTAAAAAGCACGAGGTCTCAGGAATGTCCTTTCAAACTGGATTTCACTGCCTATAAATATTTTCCATCTTCTGCCCTGGAGGATATAGGTTTGACTCCACAGCTGATGAGCCCTGGCAGAGCAGGAGGGAAGGCCACACTGTTTATCACCAACAGTTTGTCAGCACACAAAGTTTAACTTGCAGAAAGAAAGAATCCAACCCATGCTCAAAGCCACTTCTGCACAAAAAATCCCCCAAAAATCAACAAGAAAAAAGAGACAGGCAGCAGTAAATAAGGTCCCAGTAAAAAAAAAAAATCAAACCTTATAGATGAATTTTCTGTGCAAAGCAGGGTTCAGCATTGCTTACAGCCAGGAAAACAAGTAAGCTCCATGAGATTCTTCAGGTCGGAGATCCCTAGTTCCAACCCATGGGGAAATTTGGTAGAGCAAATGCAGGAAGACACAACTAGCCCATACCAGGCGCTTCACAGCGCCATTCCCACACGTTGCACACTCTTGGAACTCTTCGTTCACCTCAGTATGCTAGAAAAATCAGGGGGCACTACTCTCATGGCAGGAAGAGCACAAGCCAGATGGAAACTAGTTAGTGATACAACACTTGAGGATGAGCAATTTAGTATCTCAGTGGAGAGGATGGGAGCTGGAAGCGCACAACCGCAGCTTCACCACTACAAACAGCACTGAAGTTCTGATGCAAGATCCATACAAGCCTTCTCTGCTTGCACAGCGTGTTTTAAGGATGTACAGAAAAGTGAAAAACCAGGCTCTAACTAGCTTCCCATGCCTCCCTTTTACCATCACGTTTGAAGCAACTCATCCTTTACACTGCTTGTTTACCGAAGAGCCTCTGTTGCGTTCCGTGCGGAGGCCCCTTCAGAGCCAAAGTCATGCACAGGCTGGCTTTTGAGCCATTTGCCTGGATTCCTATCGGCACTTCAGTTTGTGCTCATCAACGTGATGCCATACGTCCCCCTTTTCCACTAGGATCTGTTCTGTTAGCCATGCATAAAATCTTCATGCACCAGCACTCTCTGCAGATCTTTGCAAAATAAAAGGGAAAGCTCAGTCTGAGAAGTGAGGACCAGGAGAGGCTGCTGGTACATGCAGTGAGGAAGCTTAGACAAAGCATCAGACAAAGCAGCACGGTCAAGCACATGAGATTTGGGTCAAAGCACCCTCCTGATCCTCCTGCTACTGCTCCTTGCTGCATACGGGTTCCCAGGACTATCACCACCTCCCACCATGTTTGATGGGTACAGTGACAAAGAGTAGGTTCACCCTCCAGTAATAGAAATCTTATTTGATCTTTTAGTCAGAAATGTCTCACGGCAAAAAAATTAGCACCTCGAGGGCTGCTGGGATTCCCGGAGGATTCCCAAGACTGGAGAGGTTAAAGATGTGTTGGACAGTTCACGACTGTCTCACAGTAAGCTCCGCTTCTCACATTGAAATTTATTGACTAGCATCCAGCTCCAGCTCAGGCATTCTATCAACGATGCTAATTTTAGGCACTTTATCAGCGAGCACCAGGTGACCAGCTCGAGGCTACTGCACTCACCTGCTGGACTGTTAGCATCAGGACATCACCAAAGGTTTTAATTTCTTCACTCTGCGTTCATGGAACACCCCACCTCGTGAAGCAGCCACGCCATATTGCTCCTTTCAAGTGACCTGCAAGGCTCTGCACATCCATGTATAGCATCTAGTAATTTTTCCTGCATATTTATGACAATTTTGATGGCAAAGGATCTTAGATCTCCTTGGAAGACAGAAATTATGCCCAGCCTCCAAAGCGTACAGCTGAACCCCACATTGTTGTCTACTTCCAGGAGCAAAACCTTATGCACATTTACCTGTGCCAGCTCAGCTGCCGGCTTCCTCCTCTAATCTTTTGAGTATGGACAATTTAAGGGTATTTCATTATTTCACAATCAAGGAATCCCAGCATAATCAAAAGATGCCGTCCATATCTTACCAGGAGCTGGACCAAGACCTGTGGCCTCTAGCTGAGCTATGCCGCTGCCCTAGGGATGTAGAAGGTGGCTCCTTGTTCTTCTCAACACCCCCTAAACTGTCACATTAGTTCTTCTTCTGCATCTGAATAAAAAATGAAATTTAGGTGATGTTAATAAAACTTCTAAAATGGTACCCCATGCAGCAGGCCCCGCTCATTCCTCTCTGCCGGCCAGCAGAGCATCCAAACAGTTAACTAAATCCACTTCTAGAATCTTGACCTGGCAATTTAAAGATAAGCTAAACAAATATCACAGCTGACTCAGAGCCGCCGGTGAGCAGGGGAAAGAATTCCTGTAAACCAGTTTGCATGGAGTAAACCAGACGCACAGAGGGCAATCTCGTGTGGCATCTTCTGTTACAAAGACCTCTTCTGCTGAACAGACGCTGCTCCTTAGAAAGGATTCAAAGGGCTAAACTCCATTTTTGAAGACATGGCTAACAGGGTTCACAGCTGCAGATTCTCCCGTTTTCCCTCCACACTCTCTGCGACTGCCTACTGTTTTCACAGCCCTCTCTTCCCATCACTGTCCAGTGCTTGATGCCCTGAAGAACCAAGCAGCATCTGAAGAGAGAACCACCAACAAATCACCAGCTGGAAGACACAAAGACCAAAAAAGTAAGGGGAAGAGAGAAGAGTGGAGGGGTCTGGAAAAGGAGTTTATTTATCATAAATACAGATCAGCTAGACATGCAGCTTATCCCACAGAAGAGGCAAAACCCCTGGAGACTCTCCAGAAAGCCACACACTGGAAAGCTGGTTCCCGGTTACTTCCCTCTCTCCACAGCAAGACCAGGATGAACTCAATTATCCAGCATCTCAGTGATCTTTTCTGCCACAGGATTGTACCGACGTGTTCCACCATCAGTATCCGTGTCTGCTAATGGCAGCAATCTATCGCCCTGCCGGCAAACTCCTCCTGCCTGGTCAGAGGTGGAGATTTCTTAACAAATTAATTAATTCTGTCAGAGCTTGTTTGGAGCACAATGGTGCACAGGGATTCAGTGGATGGGGGGGGATATTCACAGACCTAACTGGGAATCTTGCTGCCAACATCTGTTTTGGGAAAGGCCATTTCTAGAAACAGTATGAAATGAGGCTCTTCAGGCTTGTGTCAGAAATTTGGGTATATTGTTTTATCAGCAACCTCTGGATTTTGTTCCCACTAAGAACATCGCCCTTTGAACAGGTTGATGACATTATCTAATAATTACAATCAGCTCCTCCCTGTGCAGTGAGGGTTGAAAGTCCCCCATGTTCTCCCTGGCCCTCTGCCACATGAACCCCTCACTGCCCAGTCCCTGCAAGCAGATGCTGCAATAGCTGACAGAGCAACAGCACTCAAGGAAAGAGAGATCAGCACAGAGTTCATCCTTCAGTCTTCCGGGGCTCAGTTTTTCTCCAGAATTTTGGTGAGGAGTTCGTTCAGCCGGCTCACCATTGGTCTGGGATCCTCATTCAGTCCTGCTGCTATCATGGCATTCTCATAAATCTGTAAAAGAGAAGAAAGTATTAAATAAGCAGCAAGAGTGAGCTGGATGAGAGCCGGGGAGGAAGCGAATGTCACTCTCCAGGACTTGTATGCTGAGACCAAGCACGTCTTCTAGGTCATCTGGTAGGAAAACACAGCGACCACAAGTACCAGAAATACCCAAAGGGGGACCAGAGAAGGATGGGATTCCTGCCCCCTACAAGGGCTTCACCCTGTTCCCTGCCACACATGGTCTGTGAGCTGGTTCTGGGGAGGATGGTGCTGCTTCTGGAGAAGGCCTGGCTCTCACCTGATCAAGCAGCAGCTGAGCCAGATCAGGCTGACTGTCCTTCAGCTCGTTAAGCTTCTTAATCAGAGCATGCCTGTAAGAGGGAGAGAGATCAACACTGAGACTTGGTATTTATGGACACAGGGAGAAATTTATTTCCAGAAGGAGCAGCTAAGCCAATGTGGGACAGGAAATGTTCTACCTAAAGGCCAAAATAGCTCCAACTTCCTTGCTCCTGTTCTGGGGGCTTGTCTCTTCTCTCCCACCCTGTCCCTATAACCGTTTGTCCTCAGAGGGCTGGACAGAGTGTGGCTTGTCTCTTCTCTCCCACCCTGTCCCTATAACCCCCGTTTGTCCTCAGAGGGCTGGACAGAGTGTGAGTGGGTGGCTCACATCAACTGTGCCACACAGCCTCAGACTAAGGCACTGTGGTACCCACTGCACTTAATGAGGAGGGCTCTGCTAATTGGGAGCATTACATTGTCTCCTCTCTGCCTCCACCCCAGAAAGACTGCGGTGCCCCAGGCCTAGCAGTGGAATTGCTCCTCCTTACCCTGTGTTGATCTCCAGGGTGGGCTGCAGGAGCTGGGCACGCTCCTCTTGGGTTTTGGCCAGCTGCTGCATGCGAAGAAAGTGGCGGGCAGCCCCCATCTCGAGCACAGTGATCATGGCGGGGTGGGTGTCCAGCCGGGTAGTCACCTGTGGCAAAAACGGCGATGAGTGCTGAGGTGGGAAAGGCACATGGTTCCAAGGACTCGGGGCCTCCTCAGCACAGACCCACACCAACCCCCTGCATGATTCGTCCTGACCCCACAGGAGCTGCCTAAACTGGCAGGAAAGCTGAGGGCCCAACTGGCCCCGCTGGTCCACAGGCAGCAGCTGGACTCAAAGCACTCCTTGCCAATAAGCCTCTCTAGTCCACAGGCAAGACAGTCACCAGCCTGTTCTTCTGGTAACCAGAGCATGAACTAGTAAAATGGGCTTTGCTCATTACGCCTTAAGATATGGTTCTTCTGCTGCCATGCTGTCCATCTAAATGTCAAATGCCAGCATTCATACTATCGACAGAAAGGAGGCACAGAGAATTTCTCTCAGGATCCAAAGAAAAATCCGTGGCAGCAGATCCCAAATCAACCACCATCTTTCTTTCCTCCCTAGATTGGTACCTCCATGGATCTCCCATACACAGTTACCCCATGACAGAATGCCTACCTTAACACCAGTGACTCGTGAGCCTAAGGCGTTTCTCATCCAGGCCATCAGATCCTCAGCCTCTTTCTCTGTCAGACGTTCTGCAGCTGGCAGGGGAAAGAGGGCACATCTGAACGTGCATCTATAGCGTGCCAACGGATGGTGAGCTTTGCTCCTGAGCTCAGTCATACTGCCATTTATCTGTTCTCTTGTGGAAATGGGAAGGCAGCACCACTCGGCACGCACCTACGTACATGATCCCAGACCGTGCTGTACCCAGAGAAGGGAGGCTCATGCCCTGACAGTGCCTGCCTGCCTCTGCCAGGGCACCAGATGCATGCGTGTTGTTACAACTCAGATCATGGGAACTCCACGTATGACATGCCATCCTTTGAAATCAGCAAACTGCTTAAGCTTTGATCACATGAGATGAAAGGGATCTGCAAGTTGCCTCAGAGCATGAGAATGGCAGGATGGAAAGGAGTGCTCTTGCTCACATGCTCAGGAGCTGCAAGAGTGCTGGAGGAGGTGCACCCTCACTGGGTGGCATGAGGTGGCAGGACTGCATGCAGCAGGAAGGGCCAGGGAAGCCTCAAGATACCTGGGCGACTCTCCTCAAACTTCTCTTCCTTATAGTGATCAACAACGATATCCGTCTCCACAGAGATCAGCTTCTTCTTGTCAAACTCCCGAAGGTGCAGGAGCGTCAGCTCATCGAATTGCTCGTAGCAGAACAGGACCTGTGCCAAAAAAAAAAAAAAGGGACAATAACACATTGTGTGGGATGTAACAGCATTTCCTCCTTCCCAAGGCACCTCCGCACCAACCAGCAAGAACATCACAAGGGAAGAGCAGGTTCAGCCCCATGGTGACTATCACTTAGGGCCCCAAATGAAAGCAAACCCTTGGAGGGCTTTGTGCCACGGGTCCTGCTGCCCCATGGGAAGTGACAGCCAGCACTGACTCCAGTCCTGAAAGGGCCACCTGCTCCCAGAGGACACCTAGAACACCACTACCAGCCCTGCACAGCAGCTCCTAGGCTCCTCTTCTGGGGTTCAGCGAAGGTATTAAACAGATGTCAGAACTGGATGTCTGCACAAGTACCGACCCGCCTGCAGAGAGCATGTGATGGGTCCTTCCTGGCCTCACGCTGCAGTAGCTGGTCTGAGCAGAGACAGAGGGAGCCCGGGCAGACAGCGCAGAGGCAGGGGTCTATCACAGGCCTCACTGCCCTGCTCAGCTCTGAGATCCAGGTGAGCCCTGACCACTGACGACTACAGCTGAGGGTGTTCCCCTGATCACGGCACACGGCTCACCCACCTCCATGTCCTTCTTCTTCATGGCCTCAAAGTACGGGGAGTGCTCAGCGAGGTGCCGGTTGGGTGCACACAGGTAGTAGATGTTTCTGCTCCCTGCCTTCATGCGGGAGGCGTAGTCGGTCAGGCTGGTCAGCTGGCCTGCGGGCAGGGCAGACGATTCGTAACGTAGCAACTTCGCTATGTCCTCCTGGAAGAAATGTGCTCCTGTGAGCTGAAGGCAGGTGACTATAGCTCTACCCGACCGCTCCCAGCCCCAAGAATTCCCTTTGTAGTATGCAGGCCTGTTTGCAGCCCTGCAAAAAGGCTCGGGGGATTCAGAGTCCCTTCTTTCCTGCTCCAGATATTAAGGAGGCAGAAAAGTGACCTAGACAAGATGTAGGTCAAGCTCTCCTGGAAATGGGAATCCAGGCAGAGGACAACAGTAGGGGAAAGCCCTACTTTATTGCCTGTTGTAGTTCATGTTGCATCAGGGAGGGCTGACAACACAGCGTGGGTGCAGAGACTCTGCAGTGTCTCGAATTAAGTGGGAAGCAGCACCCAGTCCGAAAGAGCAAGAGTTCGGGCACTAGAGAATCTGTAGGTCTCATTAGACCCAGGAACACAAGTTATGGGTGTGTAAGATTCAGAGAAGTCGCAGCCCTGCTCATCCCAGGCCACGGCAGGAGCCACTAATCTTTCCCATCAGCTGCAGTGCTGCAGGACTTCTGGTACCTTGACATCCTGCTCTGCTATCGTGACGATCCCCTCTCTCATGAACACTCCGTAGTCCTCAAAGAATTTGGCATATTTCTCAGGGTCCTTCTTGCTCTGGTCAATGAAGAATTTGATCAACCTCTTCTGCAAAACATCTCGGAGCTTCCTGCGGCAGAAACAAGGCTTTTTTAAGACAGATGCCAGACCAATACAAGAGACATGAGGTGAACATCTCTCCCTGTGCAGTATTTTAGCAATGCATTTGCCTTTTTCCACAAAAAAGCAGCTCCAGGCCCACTGTCTCCTTTCCCTCCTGGCTCTACATCTGTTCTTTGTATCTCAGTCAAGAGCAGCTCTTGAGCTAGAGAGGTAGCTAGAGCTGTGGTACAAATGCACCGCTGAAGCTCCAGTCTTCAGGAACTCGTGATGCAGTGATGCTGCAGCACAGGGCATCCGCCTCACTCCCACAGCTACCCTTGAACATGGGAAGGAAGCGGCTGTACAAGGGTTACACTTGGAGGAACCCCTTCTGAAGGCCTGAAAATCCACTGTGAAGTGACAGGGCTAATTTGGTGACTATAGCGAAGGCAGAGGCATTTCACCAGCCATGGAATACAAAGTTAGCCATCAAATCTAGCAGGGTAACAGCACCAGTGCTAAGCAGTAAGAGCCTACTCTTATACTTCCTTCAAGTTCCAACAACGGCAGATGTTTGAGAGGGGACTTGAAGGACAGCAAGTAAGGAAAAACCAAAGCCAGATCTAAAAGGTTCTTAGAGGAGACTGTCCTGCTGGCAGTCAGCTTCACTGGGCCTCAGCACCGAAGGAAAACCCTGCTGGCTAGCTCTCAGTTTTTGACAAACGTGTGTGAGCACAGCAGAGCTTTGAAGGAAGTCTGGGGACAAGAGGCACAAGGTGCTGCGTGAAGATCTACACATAAATAATGGTGACACTAAAGTATGGCCCTGCTTCCTAGTACTGACAGCTGACTTGCTCTTTGGTTTTGTTTGCCATACCACTTGGTGGTGCAGACCAGACACTTTAAATAGCGAATCCACTGTTATTGCTGTAGATCAGAGATATCGAAAGGCAGCCTAGCGCATGAGGGGCACGTGGCCCAAGCAGGCAGCAGCAGGTTGTGTGACACAGGACACTGCTCCCACATCTCAGTGTGACGAGCATAGCTGAGAACTCACTTTATAGACTACAGAAATTCTCAAGGATGGAAATGCTGCAGCTGACGTGCCAGGACCTTCCAAGCCGCTCTAACTATCCCACAATGTCCCCTCCTCAACCAGCAAGAAGCTGGAAAAGCCTCAGCAGTCCACAGGATCTAACTCTTGCTTACCTGATAAGGGCACTCTCCTGCAGCAGCTCCCTGCTGAGGTTCAGGGGTATATCCTCACTGTCCACAACACCTGGAAGACAGAGCAACCCTTGAACAGCGAGGCAAACAGGAGCGCCAGGCTCAGGAAGGCAGCCCCTCACCTCACCCCCTGGGGAAGCCATGGCCCACAGCCTGCTATTCCTGGTCCCAGCACATACCTCTCAGAAAACGCAGCCATTTAGGCAGGATGTCTGCAGCTTTGGTTTGGATGAGAATTTTGCGGCTGTAGAGGGCAACGCTGGAGCCCAGTTCCCTGCTGATATCAAACATGGACGGTTTCTGCAGGAACAAAGAGACCAAAGGGTAACACCAGCACTGCGCAGGGTGCCCAGCTGCACACTATGCTGCAGCATCTCTGTGGCTGCACCAGCTGACCAGGTCACACTGTGGTCTTCACTACCAGTGATGAACCCAAAGAGAGTTGAAATCTCAGCTGTCTTCCCTAGGAACCTATCTGAGCCATCTCCCTGCTCCTGTCATGGCTCCATACCCCCACCGATGTCCCGTGGCACCCAGCCCACTGCAGAGATGCCACACTGGACATTCCTCCTTGCCATTCTGCAGCCTTAGCTGCCTCCTTTCCCTAAGGAGCTCTCCTGTTCTCTCCCCTTCAGAGCAACTGGGCAGATGTTCCACTGTTCCCTGGACAGAAGGGCACGTACTTGCTCAGGCACATAGAAGATGCTGCGGATGTTGAGGGGAGCATCAGTCTTGTAGTGCAGGACGTAGCGGGGCTTGTCGTAAGCCTGCGCTATGAAGCGGTAGAACTCCTCGTGCTGCCACTCACCGATGTCCTTGGGGTCCAGCATCCAGAGTGCCTGTGGAGGAGCAGGGAGATGAGGTCCCATCAGCTCTCAATACCTGCGGTCTCACAGCTGCAGGGCTCTCCTTTCAGAGTTACACTTTCTCACTGGAGCACGGAAACACGATCTTTCAAACAGACTGCTCTGCACAGCCCGAGTATTACGGTTCAGGCACGTTATCACAGATTAACAAAATACTGCCCCTCAGCTGATCTTGGGTCACCCCCCACAGAGGTGCTCTTGCCCTGCGACATATATAAGGCAGCTTTGTTTAGCCCAGAGCAAAAGGGATTTGGCTAACCTCCACTGCCTCACACTGCTACTGGCCAAGAGCATCCAGGACAGTTACCACAGCCCAGCTGACCGGCAGTACCTCAAGGCCTGACCAACAAGCGAAAGAAAAGCACAAGTTTAAGTGGGTCTGTTGCAACCGGCCTGCCTCCCTGCTGGAGGTCGCTATCCCACCACAAGGTCAGCCGAGTGCTTCTGAAGCAACTCCTTCAGGAGATGCTTTGTGAACCACTCGGCCATCCCTGCAGCAGGGGCAGAAAGCACTTCAGCAGCACCATTTCACACATCAACACGTGAGTTGAAGTCACGAGCTCCAGACCAGGTCCCTCCCCGTGGCCATGCTTTCCACCTGCTGCTGCTCTAAACCCCCCAGCGCTTTCTGGAGCACTCAGTCCATGCTCCCACCACATTTAAGTTTTCGGTGCCTCAGCAAAAGACTAGCATCTAGCAAAGACGTGGGAGGTTCTGCCTACTTAACAAGCCTGGGGACCCAACTAAGAATCTCACGTTTCCAGCCGGGTGAAGCCCGCTACGCTCACTGCCACTCTTTTCTACTCAGCCCTAATGAGTGACAGGAGCGGTCACTGGGGGGATACAAACATCCAGCCCACCTTCCACCTACCAGTCCAAGGGATTCAGGGCTCTGGAAGTCCTGCCATGCTCCCATACTCCTTAAAGCTTCTTCTGCCTCAAAGCCTTGTTCCACGAATGGCTTCATAACATTTCAAGCACATGCAAGTGTCCTGGAGGGTTTGCAGGATCACAGGTAGCATTACGGACTCAACTGGGTACTGAGGTGCTTTACAGCAGCTGTTGTTAGGTAAAGTGCTGCTTTCCCAGAGGCTTACTGGTAGCTCCAGTTATCACAGTTAGACTGGAAAAGCCTCTAACTCCACATTGTCAGCTACAGGGCAAGCATTCAAGAGCTTATCTAGGAAAATCCACACCAGGGATCTAACTATGCCTCTGTTTACAGTGAACTGATGTTGATGTGTGGAAAAAGGCAAAAACAAGATCCCGGATAAAGAAAAGGTCTGAAATGGGAGCATAATGCGGATAGAGCTGTTGCTGTATCCCAAGGGAAAACAGACTTTCTGATAAGAAGATAAAAGTACATGACTATTAAGGGCACTTCACCCCTTGCTCTAGTACTACTCTTCTCTAGGGAGCCTGTTCTATTGATTGTCAGGTAGAAAGAGCAAACAGCCGCCTAAATCTATTTCTGGTTTTGGAATTTAAAGGAAACAGCTAGAAAGCCTTTGGAACAGAAACACTATTATGCAGGAATCCAAAAAAATATCAGTGACTAATAACACCAATTACAGAACCTTAGATAAATTAGCATGATAAAAATATTTAAGTACAGTCTTAAAAGCCTGTGCATTCAGTGCCACATTCCAGGAAACAAAAAGACCACACACACGATTTCTCCCTGCTCTCTTAGGTGAGGAAGCTTTGGCCAACCAGAAAAGGAGATGCTGGAGGAAAATCATGCACAGATTTTTGTTTTAAGGCTAATGAATTTTATCTAGGCAATTCCTGCAATTGGGCCAGGAACTTCTGACTAAAATGGATCTGGCTGCTATGTAATTTTTAGTGGTCAGAAAATGCCAGCATCAAGCAGCGCTCAGCTAAGAGCTGTGAAGAAAATCAGGCCGTGAGCCGAGCCAGTAAGACAAACCAACCATTTCCTGGCCCTGGCTACCTCGTGCTGAAGGACAGAGGGAACTGCAGCAAGAGGTGTCAGCACACCAGTGACGTGAGCAATCCCTACACCACTACCCCGTTACCTGGCTTAAACAGTTAGAATCAGTATTATAAAACACTGAAATAATCATTCTGATTAAGGGAAGATCCAGAAGACAACTATAAATAAAACCTGCTTTGCTAATCTGCAGGAATTCTCTCCAACAAATGTAAACAAGCAGTTCCAGATGTGACTTCTGATGGATTGTCTGCTTTTATTCTAATTAACTGATCACTACAGGGTCTGTGATATCCTGGACAATCCTACCCTGGTTTCTGGGGACAGCAGCAGCTTTATGCTGTTTCCTGTCTCCAGTGGAGGATTGCAATGGTTCCTCTCCACAGGTGGCCTGCCTGCTCACCTGTAATGTGTTAATTCGTCTCCCATTGAGATATAGTGGGAAGCTGATGAAGTTGCTGTATTTTGTCACCACCTCTGAAATGGAAAGAAGACAGAGGAATCATGTTTGTGAAACACAGTAAGAATTTCTTCAGTAACAGCAGGTGAAAAGGTGCTGCAGGAGAGGAAAACCACTTAAATTCACCTCCCGCTCAAGGGGCGGCGACAGACATCGCACAGCCCCCCAGCAGGCCACAGCATTTCCCTCCTCCACTCACCCTTGACTCGGTCTTCATTCGCAAACTCCTTGCAGTCTTCTTTGAGATGTATAATAATCTTAGTCCCGGTTCTGACTCCAGATGCTTCTGCAATCTCAAACATTCCTGAACTAGGATTAGAAACAGACCCCATGTCAGCCTGTGCCTCAGATACATCCATGGTGGGACATGAAAATACTTGATCAAACTAAGAGCACACATAACACTTCAGCACCAAGAGGAAAAGGCAAAAAATCTTGAATGGCCGAATGCTCTCTGTGCCTCTGAGAGGCCGCGCCAAAACAAGTGGCTGTCTTCCCTACAGAGACCGCAGACCCAGGACATGCTGCTCTGCAAAGGCACCAGCAGCCTCTACAGAAGAGGACAGAAACTTCAAACAAACTTCAGGTTGTGTGGGCCTAGCCTTCAACTCCTCTCCTACATTTCCTACAGTGACCCTAACACCCTGCCTTCTCCCTTGATGACTCCGACTCGTTTGTGGGTCCTTCTTCCTATCTCCACTGGAGTGTGCAGCAACTGGTTACACCAAAAAGCAGCTGTGCTCGTTCTGGATGACCTTTCCTACCCTATTGCTGAGCGAATGCCATACTGGGGATCAACCACTGGTGAGAGCACTGACCCAGGGGAGAAGCAGCAGCAGCGATGACAGACAAGCGTTCAGAGTGTATGGCAACACAGATTGCAGCATACAGCAGCTTGCCTGCAGCCCAAGACAGTCTGATGTCTCAGTTATACGATGTTTTTTCAAGAATTTAAGTAACTTCGTAAATTCTTTATTCCTAGGAGATTTTAAGGGGACACTGAGCTTTTCACTCCCAGAAGCTCCCATTTCAACATGGTCTGGCAGTCCACGGCTTTGCCATCACAGATGTTTGCAACTTCAAGCAAAAAGCAAAGGATGAGCACACAGATCTGACCCACAGAAGACACGTGCCTACAGAGCCGCAGCACTGCACGAGCCCTGCCTACTGTGGGTGCCTTCAAGCAAAAAGCCAGGGGACTACGAGACCAAAGAGATTAAATTTGTCTCTCCAGTCTGGGGCACTGCTAAGATGACTGCCTGCCAGCAGGGAAGGAACAGGAGAGGCAGGTACTCTCTTTGCCCGCAACACGCCTGCTCTGACAAAGCAAGTTTGTCCCTGTGGTTTCCACCCTGGCACATTTGGCCGCACTTTGTTACCACGTATAATCCAAGCAGGATCTAAACCAGTAAGCCTGGTCATGAAAGACCAGACAAGCCCTGTCTTGTTTCACACAGCTTTCAGTCCATGCCTGATCTGGCCACAGCCCCGCCACGTTTCCATCCCGTTCTGCAACCTTACCCATCTGAAGACCAGTGGTAGCCTGGGCTCCCCGGCTCTGCAGACTGTGAGAACACCTCCACTTTATCAGCCACCATGAAAGCTGAGTAGAAACCTACTCCAAACTGGCCGATGATTTTACTGCTGGCTTCAGCTTGGCTCTGCAGAGCATCTAGAAAAGCCTGGAGGAACAAAAGAGATATAAACCAGTCTGCAGTGACTTCAGATAGCACCGGGAGGCTGCAACCCATCCTCCAGCTGGGCTCCTCCGAGCACTGGTGCAGCCCTGCACCAGGCACCACAGCCTGGCAGTCCAGTACCCTCATCCTGTCAGTGCCCTCAGGAGGGTGCCCAAGGAAAAGGGGTTTCTCCCACAGGGACTGCACCTCTGGAAAAGGGGAGCATTGCTTGGGGCAACGCTCACTGCCACTAGCAGTAAAGGAAAGCAAGCGAGAGCTCAGTCAGGAGCACAAAACCTTAAAATGGTGACTCCAGACATGGAAAAAAAAAAATTAAAAAAAATCGGGTACATATATATAACAGCTTGCCAGCACAAGGCCACAGCTGCTGCCCTCCCAGGCACATGGTGGATGCCAAGGGAGCATGTGCCCCTCCGTAAGGATGGCTTGGGGAGGAAGGCATTTTCTTCTGGGAGTGAGGGCAGCCAGGTGCAGCAGTGTCACACGCAGGGCCCATTAGCGCTGCTTGGGCACCACGGGCATCCCACGGCAGACAGCAGAGACCGTTAAGAACCAGAAGACTCCAGAGGTAGGTTTTACCTTCCAAGAGGAGTGTAATTTCACAGCTGGGCTGGGGTTCAAGGGACAAAACAGAATGAGGAATTACTGGGAGAACAAAAGTGACTGGAACTGGAGAAAACTTTCCTAAGGGGGAAGGAGGAGTGCCTCATCCCAAGTTACCTTTGAGCCTGATCGAGCAATGGTACCAAGGTTAGAAACCAGCTCCTCCTGGGTCATCCCAATACCTGTGTCCTGAAAAGAAACAGCAATCATAACTGAAGCCATCAGTAGAGAAGCATCACTTTAGCAAACAGGACCCGAGCAACTTCTGCCTCTGACTCCCCCTCTCTCCCAGCCAGCTGGGCAGTAAATGCAACAGCAGTTTTCCAGCTGTACCCGGTCAGGACAGCGGACTCAAAAGGCACGCAGCTCCAAGGGGCAGCCACAGCTGCCCTGTGGCTATGAACTACCAGAGGGCTCAGAGCCTCAAGCCTTTTATCGAGAGAAAACAAAACCACACCAAGGCGGGCTGGTTTCTACAACCCTCTAAAAACACACAGGATGACAGCGCTGGAAGATCTCAACCCAGCCGCAGCCTCACTCTGCCGGGGGCCGCGCACGTACACAGTCTCCATTCCTGAACAGGTCCAAAGGGGAGCTGAGGAGCAGCGAGAAGCAGCTTATTTCCAATCCGCAGATGGGGAACTGATGCCTTCACACCAGGAATCAGTGTCAAAGCAGTGAATCCCTCAACTCTCAGGTAATGCAGACACTTGTCTAGAAGCACCGCATTCACTAATCTCCATCCACTCTGCCTTTTCCTTCCTCCTCTCCCTCTCACATTATGCTCCGCAAGACTGGAGTGCGAAGCTTTCAGCATCCAGGTCCCTGGGAGCTGGGTATTGCAGTGCCTGTGGGAACAGTCTAATCCCAGCTGGAAGTATGGTGCACTGGCCGCACCTCACGGTGCTCTGTCCAGGCTCTGAAGGCACCCAGCTTGTTGTCTTCCCCAGTTTAATCCAGATTTGGACTCCTGCATGCAGATAAACAACTCCCTGCTGCTAGCACACGCCTCTCAGGCAGCAGACCCTGCAGCTGCACCATCCAGAAAAAGGCTGCAGCAAGCCTCAGTCTAGGCTGCAACTTCATTTGTTGCCACAACACATTTGCACGACCCCAAGGCAACATGGATAACAGCAAACCCCAGCTAGAAACAGCCACCCTCTCACACAGGACGCCAACAAAAAAAAGCTTTCCCACATTGTAGTCCAATGTATTTTCAGACTTGCTACATGCACATCTTCCGCAGAAGCAAAGCGCAAGCTAATGCCCTCCAGGATGCCACTTCCGAGAACCAAGCGCCGTTCCCCCTCCCAAATCCCAGCAGCTTCTCTACCTGACGGAAACATCCCGAGAAGCCACTCTTACAGGTTCTCTGAGCCACTCCGTAAGGCGGCAGCAGCGTGAAAATTAGCCAAGTGAAAGGTGATTCTCATTCATGTGAGGAGTTCAGCTCCCCTCGAGTACCTGCGAGCACAGTTGGCACGGCCGACAGCAGCCTGCACACCCAGCAGTGGGCTGACACACTCCCAACACCATTAACACAGGGGTGGGATTCGGCATGCAGGAGTCAGCAAAACGAGCTCGAGCGGAACTGGCTGCTGCTAGATGGCTCGGAGGTGGGATGCCAGAGCGAATTCTGGCACTGCACGCCTCTACCACCCACATGGGGCATTTATTGGGCTTATTTGCTAGCAAAGTAAGTTAATGTCAGTACGTATTTGTTAATCTAGCGTTTAACTCCACTGAAGAATCAAACTGTGGTCAACTTGTGAGGTTACCGAGTGAGGTGCCATGGGGGTAAGACATTCTTCTGCGTCCCCACAAGTCATGGCACAGCAACACCTTCTACTTGATTAAGTACGGGAAGGCCAGTCAGTCGTCTTGGCGGAGAAAAGGGATGATGCCTGGTAAGATCTCAACAGTGGGAGATGAAAAGCCAGGAAAAACAAACAGGGTATGGCAAAATCTCAGGAATCTGACATGGTCCCTTCCCCCAGGGAAGAAAAAGCCAGAAAGAAAAGTTTTCAGCATCTGGTTCAGGTTTTGTTCGTGCCAGATCCTGAACAGAACTCTTAACTCCTCTGATCCACTCCTATTTATAGCACAACATGTCATTCCCAAATTCCAGTATGTTAAAAAAAAAAAAATAAAATACCCTTACCCCTTGAATTTATTTGGCTATTGAATTCCAAATGCCCTGCCAAACTTATTGCAAAATGCTTAATGACAATTCCTGGAGCCTGGTTTGATGAGGGTGAATCGCAAGGAACAAAGAGAGCGCGGCTCACAACGGTCTGCTCGCCCAGCAGCGCCCAGCCGCTAATGGGAAAGCGGAAAGCGTCCTTTTAGGCGGCTGGCCGAAGATCCTGGCAAAGCAGACATTTCCTACTGCAGGAAAACACCTGGGCGGATTACGATGAAAACGCCATCAAGATTCGAATGGCTCTCGCAGCGTACGCGTTTCCTGCGGCTGGCCTTCGCACTGCGCTTCTCGGCTCCCTTCACCAGATGGTGCTGCGCCGGGGAACGGGGAATAAAGTGGTGGCGGAGAGACGGGAGCTCGGCTTCTGCAGAGCAGGCCCTCTTCAGCGATGGGAAGCAAATGAACCTGCCGGCAAACAGCCCAGCTTGGGCTGGGGCGAGGCAAGCACTGGCAGCACTTGCTCCATAAAATCCACAGAAGGAGCTGGCGGGACTTCCACTGCCCTCCTCGCAGCATGGATCGGCCTCTAGGCACCTTCATCAGGAACCACCGTGTCATCACACAACCCTCTGCAAACACTTTCTACCCGCGACCGGCCAGCCTAAATGCAAGGACCGCCGTTGCTCCACCATCAACATTACAACTTTCCTTCCCTTGCAGACACTTTCAAGCCCTCCCTTCGGTCTGCAAGAAAAGTTTTATCAGGCTGAAAACAGCCACGGCAGTTATTCATAACAGTACGAAGCAATTGGCACATGGGGCTCCACAAATTACAAGACGGGAAGGATATGTTCAGAGTTTAAAGTGAGAAATGCTTCTCCACAGCTTGGAGAAACCAACCACTGTGTGCCATGAAACAAGAGTTCAGTGCGCTGACACTTCATTAGCTGAAGGTTAATTACAGAAGCCCTTCTGTTAGTCAGCAGAACAACCACCTACTCACCTGGTTGAATTTCCCTTCTGGGACTTCTTAGGGTGTAAACATCCCCCTGAACCATCCCCTCTACAGCCCTGTTCCTCTGCAAGTCAACACAACAGGCTACAGACCTTCACCCCATCTTCTGAGGGACTATGAAGAGCTCTGTGGCCACACTCGTTGAACTACACTTCTAAACTAAGTAACGTTTCCCCTGATGAGACAGCAGCTGAACACTGCTTTTAGCACCTTTTTCTGCATGGAGACCTCCCAGGTCCAAAGCCGGCTGTGGAACTGCCCGGGACCTTTGTGCTTTCTCTGCACTTTGTTCTAACCTTCGCGGCGTGGGTGCTGGACGTTAGCAAACAGAGACCATTCTGTGTAACGACGGCTGGGTAGCTGCTGGGCACGCAGTACCTCAGGGTTCCCACCACGAAATCCTCCGTGCTTGCTCCGCAGCCCTGGGACCCTCCATCTTTCTTGACAGAGGAGTAAACGAACAACTTCGGCCTCGCTATTGGTCTCATCAAATCAGTCAGCCTACAGCTCTTGTGTTCGTATCTTACTTTTTGGAAAAGCAGAAGCAAACTGCACATCATTACAGCAACAAATCTAGTTTAAAACAGCAAATTGCTTAGTTTAGCTGGTAAACAAGAACCTAGGTAATGTCACACCTCTGCTCATTACCTGAGTCCAGTTTAAGGTATTGCAGAGCCTCGTTACACCAAAGAATCCATTAACTAACCATTAACTGCTGCCTCTGCCATGGCTGCATCTGCAAGAAGGACTGCAGTTAGAGGCACATGCCTGAGCTACCGTGCCCTTCATTTTGCAAAACGAACATTTGAAACGCTTATTTCAGTGCAAAATCTCAACGGGGCGTCAGAAGAACACTGACGACATTATAAAATAAGGATGTGCTGCTTTCACCAACTGATAAGGTAATAAAATCCCCAAACGTCCGATTAGCAAGTGTCCCCCCCTGTTATTTAAACACCTTGCTTTAAGAGAGTTAGAATTCCCAAGAGCAGGACAGCAGCCGCACCGGAGCAGCTTTCTGGTTTAGAACCAGTATGGTGTCTGCAGCAGCCATGAACAAAAGAAAAGGCACAAAAAAAAAAATAAATGATGCATACAGATACAAGGTAATGTTGGCCTGGTACACAGAAGCTGTCCAAAGCAGAGCACCTAAGGTTTCCTTTCCTTTCCAATACCCTGCGTTAACATTATTTTCAACAGTGCTGAGCGTTGCTACAGGCTCAGCCTCCACCCCTCCAGGCCTGTTCAGAGAAGCACTTCCTTTCATCCACTCTGAATTTCCCATTTTTAAACGTGACATGCCCTTATTCTGGCATGAAGGGGAAGAAAGGAAAAGATTCCGCACTTCCTTCTCTAGGCCGCGGGTTATTCGAGATGCGTTTACATTTCTGGTTCCCCAGCTTATTTGTCAAAGGTGACGCAACAACGGGAAGCTCTAACCCACCCCTGCAGTCAGTGGCGCGTTTCTGTAAGCTTAATTCCACCTGAGGCTCGTCCAAGCACAGCCAGCCTTACCCCTCCATCTCTACCTGCATTACTGCCCATCTCCTGCTCCCCGGCTTCCTCAAGCCCAAGCGGCAGACGGGTGCTGCAATGCTGCGCACAGCTAAGGACGTAACCCTCTCTCTGCTGCAGCCTGGTAGCACAGGGTGGCTGCCAGGACATGACCCAGCGTGGAGGAGGACCAGCTGCCCCCCTGCACCGAGCTTTCTTGGACATGCGGGTGCATTGAACTGCTAAAGCCCAGGCATCTCGGTTCCTTATGGGAGCCTCAGGACAGCTCGGTCCTTCTTGCAGACTGTTTACAACTCATAAACCAGGAGAGATCTGCTCAGTGATACAGGGAGCTGTTGCAGGGAGGAGTGGTGTTTGCAGTCATTTTAACTCCTCCCAAACACAGCAAACTTGTTATTTTGTGGCTTCGCCGACACTGATTTTGGATGACTGCAACAGCAAGAAGAAAGCCCAGCAAAGAGAACTGAGCAGCCCAAGCTCTGGCAGCAATTACGCTGCTTCCCTGTGTTAAAACAGCAGTCACACTCCTCACCCAGCAGCAGCAGCAGCTATTAGCTCTGTAAACATTTCGAACAATTTCCTCTAAACTGTCCTAGCCCTAAATTAAGCATCAGAAAGGAGAACGGCTCCAGCCCCCGAGCTCACACAAAGGCAGGGTTACCACCAGACGCAGCACTACGGCAAAGCTGCGTAGCAGCAACACCGACTGCACCGCAGCCAAGCGCCTGTCACCGGCCGGGCGCAGGGAGCCTCGTGCGGATGTTGAAGGAGAGCTCTGTGGTCACAGGGCTTTGGGGGCCGTAAAGGGTTCTCTGTTCCTACCTCGAAGGGTCCAAAACCATGTCGGTAAAGCCTTAAGGCATGCAGAACTGCAGAGCTCTGCAGATCCGTCCTCGTTGAAAACACGCCCCTAACATTTTCAAGTGGATTTTCTTAAGAGATCTGACCTTGCAGGCTGTGGCTGCTACCAGATGGAGCTGTCCTAGAAACAGAGCGAGGCAGTTTTCAAAGGGGTGGAGGAAATAGCAGAATTTGCTAGAACAGCAGCACTTTGGTGAAGGAACTGAGGTGGTGTATTCTGGCGACCTGGACAGTGAGCATTTCCCTCTTAGCAGACGCAACACTTGGTGATGCTGAGGTAGGATATCCCTGAATGAGAATATTGTATTAAAATTTGGAGGCTTGCTATACTTACGACTGAAATTCAGTCCTGGCAGAGAAGTAAGCAGAACTGCAGTCACTTAACAGAGGTGAAGGTAGTCCCTTACTGGAGGTAGATATCTCCCCCCGGAATGTGCCCCAAATGGAGGCCATCACACATTACAGACCTGCCTTTTCTCAGCTAGTGAGACACAGAGATGCTACAGGGCTTGGAAGGGGAGAGATCCAGCAGATCCAGGGGCCAAGAGCAGCACGGAGATCTGAGGAGAAGGACTTAGGGGCCAGAGTGAGACAACGGGACCTTCCTAGAAAAAAATGGGGTGACCATTGCTGCAGATCACCCATGAGGGACCTGCTGCTTCTGTTTTGGTGGGTCCTAGCTAGTACAGAAAACAAAACAGCGACTAAGGGACAGGTCCAGCTCTGCCTCAGTCCTTGCAGACAAGTTTTTTTTCGAACCTTTTCACTCCTGGAAGGTAGGGAAACTTCCTGAACAAGGCTTGTCCAAAGCAACTGTTGTATGCAGCATGTTTCTTCAAGAGGTTATAAATAAACCCTTCACTGGAGGTAAGGAGCTTTAGGCACTACTGAGAAGGCAAACCTATTAAAAGAGATTGGAGCAGCGCTGTTCTCTCTCCCTTCTCCGAGTGCCGTATTGCTGCAGTTAAAAGCCTCCCAGCTAAGACTCATTTAGTCGCATTAGAGATGCACAGGCAGCCAGGTAGGGGGTTATAAAAAGATAAATCCCTAACACATCTAATTGGGTATGACGTCAAACGCACCCTATCTGCAAGGTGGGCAAAAGAGGTCTCTTAACCAAAGTGCTGAAGAAGGGGACAGCTTCCACAATTACATGACACGAGTTGTAAGAACATCTTGATGGAGTCAGAGGCTACGCATCCACTATGATCTC